CTGGTCGATGTGGCGAGATGAGAGTGAACCGTGCAGACAGGAGTGGGGCGCGAGGTCAGAGAACAGGTCTATGTCGTACCAGGACGGGCCTTCTGGGCTCTGGGTAGCCATGTAGATTTTAAGTGAACGTGACCCTTAGGCATTTTACACTCACATCCTGAAGCAGGCGCTATGGGTGCCTCATGTGGATCCACCTCCAAAGTCAGGCAGAGGTTAATTCCCAGATACCCAGACCCTCCTGCTTGGCCAGCTTCTTGTCTGGGGGACGCTGGAGGAGAAAGTGTAGGTCATGTGCTTTGTAGGCTCGAAATGTGTGTGTGTGTGTGTGTACACACATATGTGTGCATGTGTGTGTGTGTGTGTGTGCGCGCACGCACACACACACATGGTGCATGAGAGAGAGAGGTTCTGTGACTCCCAGTGAGAGAGGCCTGGTAAGCAAATGCCCCAGCTCCACACCCCTTGTGGTTCAGTCCTCACTGTGCCACACACAGCGTCTCAGATAGGCCACCCTGGGGTGGTTCCAGCGGCTCGCGGTGGTTAGCACGCCCTCCCCTGGCCTTTCCCCCTCCTCTTCACTTCCCCGTGCCTTCGAAGTCTTTCCCAGGATAACCTCCCCTGTAACGTATAATCAGCCTTTCCACCCATCGAATCCGTAGGTGTGGATCTAACCAGTCTTCCATGGAACACATCCTGGGAAAACAATTGTGGCTCTACTGGACATAGTCTAACTTTTGCTCGTCCTTGTTCCTGAGCAGCTTGGTGTAACAGCTATTTCCATAGCATTTGCTAAGTAATCTAGAGCTGGAGTATGTGGGAGGATACATGTAGTCCATATGCAATACTATACCGTCTTATATAAGGGAGTTGAGCAATCTTAATTCTGCTCTATGCCCAGGGCTTTGGACACAATACCCCATGATGCCAAGGAATGAGCGTACTTCGAGTACCCTCTGAGCCTGAGGTAGAAATTGTGGCGACCCTGGGAGCCTGCATAGACAGTGGGACAGCCAGGACAGACACTCCGCTGGGTATCGCTGAATTTTTCCACCCCATCCCTCCCTCTGCGGCTCCTCTGTGGCTCCTTATATACTTGAGACTTTTTTTTTTTTTTTTTTTTTTTTTTTGGTGGTACTGGGGAATTGAACTCAAGACCTTACGCTTGCCAGGCAAGTGCTTATTCTATTGAGCTATCTCCCCAGCCCTACCTTATATGCCTGAGATAAGCACTGAACTTGCTCCTTCTCTTGCCATGACTATGTTGAGTTTCCAGATGTTTGTTCTCATCTAAGGGTTTGCTTTTACTTTTTGTTTACTTGTTTTGATTTTTTTGAGGCAGGGTCTTCTTACTATGTAGCACAGGCTGGTCTTGAATTTGCTGAGATCCTCCTGCCTCAGGTTCCCGAGTGCTAGGATTACAAATGTGTGCCACCATGCCAAGCTAGAGTTTGCTTTTAAAGGAATCTACACTAAGGTACTTCTTAAATAAAACTCAGCATATTCCCCTAAAGTACTTGTATCAGTTAGAGTTCATTGGATGAAAAAATTATATATGTTAATTCTTTTCTGTAACTCATTCTGTATTCACTTCGCTTTCATAAGCACTTCAGCAGCTCTTGGTTCTTTTACAAGCAGGATGACCCACTCCATCATCCCTGGACCATTCGTCATCCTGCCTGGATTGAGTTGTAGTTTTCCACTGAACAGGGCAGGGCAATCCTAGGAGGTGGTCCAAGGGATCTCCTGTGCTCCAGATATAGTTCTGCTTTCTTCCACTATGGAATAAACAGTCCAAGCTCCTCTTGATAGTCTGGGTCAATCACCCTGCCAACACCAGAACTCCCTTTTAGCTGGTTTACTAGGGAGTATGAAGACACTAAAATGACCAGGGGAAGTCTTAGCTCCTAAGACAGTGGTATCATTGGTGTGTCTCCTGGTGTAAACTGTCCTCCTACTAGAACTAAGAGTTCCAGGCCAGCAGAACGTAAGGTCTCAAGAACAGGAAGCAAACACTTTGCTGGTGGATCGCTGGGGGCGATGGGTGACGGTAGCTTTTGCTCTTCTACTGCTTGATTCCTGGACCTGTGAATCTGGCTATGGGAGACAGTACCATGCAGTGGACGCTGGCTCAAAGCACACACAGCCTTTTGATCCTGGCCGCAGTCCTGCAAGCTATGGCCACCTAGCTGATGCTGTAACTTTGTCTTCTATTTTTTTTATTTTTATTTATTTATTTTTTTGGCAGTACTGGGTATTGAACTCAGGATCTTGCACTTGCCAGACAAGCACTTATTCTACTGAGCTATCTCCCCGGCCCAACCATGTCTTCAAGAGACCATTCCGCCTTTCCATCAATCCAGCCACCTGTGGATGGTGAGGAACGTGGTAAAGCCAGTGAATTCTGCTGAGTGTGAGCTCTTTGCCTCATTTCTTTGGCCACAAGATGTGTTCCTTAGTCAGAGGTGATGCTGTGTGGAATTTTGTGATGGTGGATAAGGCATTCTGGGAGCCCATGGATGGCAGACGTGACAGAGGAAAGAAAATCCACATCCAGGATAAGTGTCTATGCCCATCAGGACAAAGCACTGTCCCTTCTGAGATAGAAGTGGCCCAATTTACTCAACTTGCCACCATGTAGCAGGCTGATTGTCCTAGGGAATGGTGTCCTATCAAGGGGCTCGGTGCTGCTCTCTGCCTCTCTCTGCTGCGGGCACGTTGGGCATTCAGCAGTGGCTGCAGCCAGATCAGCCTTGGTGAGTGGCAGTCCATGTCGCTGAGCCCATTCATAGCCTCCATCCCTGCCACCAGGGCCACTCTGCTCAGGACTCCATTGGGCAAGATAGGGGTGGCTGCTGAAAAAGGCTGACTGCTGTCTGCAGAACAGCCCACGCTATCCACTTGACTATCAAAGCATTCCTCTCCCAAGGCCGCCTTTCGGCGAGCAGTTACATGGACACAAACACTTTCACATTCTTGGCTGTATGGAGAGGTCTATCCTCATACCTCTTCCAGTTTTCTAGTCATGTTCCTTCCAGGTCCCTGACCATCCGGCCAGATCACTGGCCACAGCCCATAAATCAGCAGGTAATTGCACATCTGACTAGTTGTTCTTCCAAGCAAAACATGCGGCCATGCACACTGCCCGAAGCTCTGCCCACTGTAAAGATTTCCCTTCACCCCTGCCCTTTGAGGATGTCCTGGAAAGGGGCTGCAGCGCTGCAGTTGTCCACTTACGGGCATTGCAGGCATAAGTGCTGAACCAGCCCTAAGCCAGGCCCTCACCCTCTCCTCCTGTCAGCTGATCAGGCAGTAACCCTTGGGAGACCATCAGGGCATGCTGGGGGACAGAAGGAAATGCAGCAGGAGTAGGAGCCTCGGGGACCTGGGTGACTTTTTCATGTCACTTGCTGTGCTCTCGACTTGTCCTGGCTCCATCACATACAAGCCTCTTCCACTTAGTGAGGTACTGCTGCTCCGCATGTCCAACTTTGTGACTTGCCCCTGCTCATGATGGGCAGTCAGGTCATGTGGTAACCTGGTGTCCCAAACATTCAGTTTCCACTGAGGCCCCGAAGCAGGTCAGGGGCTGCTTTTCAAAGACAGAGTAGCTGTCCGCAGGTGATGGCACAGCTTTGCTCCAAGACCCTGAAGGCCTCCACTGTAGTTCGCCCATAGGGCATACCAGAAACTGCAAATAGCACCTGCACCTGCCAGCGGCACTCTGAGTCCCCCTGGATCTGCTGGACCGCATGGCCCCAATAGCAGAACAGCCTGGGCCTGTCGCACAGCCTCACTCAAAACTAGCAGCTTTTTGAGCCACTTGATAAATGCACCAGAGTAACACAGTATTCTCTGTTTCCCATTTCAAGGATTATTGTGGCCACTGCAAGCAGACAAGAGTCCCCTTCAGCCACGTCCTGGCATCCACATCCTACACTGGCAGATGTGCAGTAGCCACCGTCCTTTCTGGTACTCAGCCCTGTGCCGAGCAGCAGGACTGCAGGGAGGAATCGCAAGTTGGTGCCCGCGAAGGGTCTCAGGGAAATGGACTGGGACCCAGACAAGGACCCCACCGTGTGCTCAGAACTGCATCAGAGAAGTGGGCGAAGTCTTGGAGCAGAGGTATTACAAGCCAGGCACAAAAGGACTGGGAGGAGCTGGCCATTCGGGAGACAGGGAGGTGATCTAAGAGCAGAGGGCACAAGGTATGCCACACTGTGAGGGGTCTGAAACTTTCCAGGTATGAGTGAGAGGGGGGAAGGGAGGAAGGGAAAAGGAGGGGGGATATGAATTTGAATCTGGACTGGGAAGGGGAGAGGGATCAGGGACATGTGGTTTCCTCTAGGTTTGGCAGAGAGAAGCCAATGGGGGTGGTGGGTGAGAGAGGGCGCGGCTGGCCTGGGAACCAGGCTGGGGGGCTTGAACCTCCTCTTGAGCGTATAGAGTGCCACGGAGGACTTCCAAGTGGAGTGACAGCACTGGATTTGGGTTTGAACACCTTCTCTTTGGACTAACAGAACCTGGGAGCTGGCTCAACCAAGACCCTTGTCAAGGGTCAAGGGGGTCGATTCTCTATTTTAATTTTTATCAGTGCACGTTTGCAGTACATGTGATCACACTGTGGAGGCTGCTATGTGTACATGACATGTTTTAAGCCTTTTTTCCATGCTCTCGCCCTCCCCTCAACCCCCTCTCCTCCGTCTATTGGTTCCCTTCCCTTTTGCACAAGATCTATGATGGAGATGGACTTTTAGGGGGTGCAAGAGGCTATTCTAAGTGTGGACACTGTGGAGTGGGTGAAGCGAGAGCCCAGGAAGGAGGAGGAGTGGCCCTGAACTTGGGAGGGTGCAGCTCCCCAGGACCAGCCTTCGGCCTTGATATGACCTGATTCAGCTAAATAAAGCTGGAGAGGGGTGACGAGACCTGGGGGACTTGTCGGCTCACTGCCCCCGAGGTAACCATTAATCCATCTCCTGGGGGAATCCAGGGACTGGTCCCCTGAAGGGCAGATCCTGGGCAGAATGGAGGAGCACACAGAGGTAGGCTCTGAACCAACGCTGGGGGACCAGAGAGCCCTAATCCACAACCCTGCGGACATTCTGGTCATCGCCGCTTATTTCCTGCTTGTCATCGGTGTTGGCGTGTGGGTGAGGAGTTGTGGGTTGTTGTTGGAGAGTCAAAGGGCCTGCGAGACTGGGGAAAACCTTTTAGGGAGACCCCAGACATGGGTGAGGGAAGGATGCCTGGATATGAGAGGGGAGAACCCATGACTGGAGGTGAGCAATTCTTTTGAAGGCCTCAGAGAAGCCAAATCAACATCAATCTCTTGTTTTCGCACCTTTAGGGTATGCTAGTTGAGGGGCTCACTGGGTTTTAATCAAGCTCAGCATTCTAGATGAGATCCCTGTGCCCCTGCCACATGAGGCTGGCCAGCAGTTCACGTCCCAGGTCCACTGCAAAGTCAGGCTGAATCAGCCACAATCTGGCTGGAGTATCTGGGTGCCAGGATTGGGGTCTGACTGGTCTGGGTGTCTAGGAGGTTGGGGGTGGGGGTATGAACAATCAGGGGAGTCTAGCGCTGGTTAATCTTCAGCTGGCAGGAAGGCTGAGGAATGTGTGGAGCAGGCTTATGAAGTCCAAAGCTGTGCCCCTAAACCCGAGTCTACCCCCACTTCTGTCCCCCAGTCTATGTGCAGAACCAACCGAGGCACCGTGGGCGGTTACTTCCTGGCAGGACGGAGCATGATCTGGTGGCCGGTGAGACTGACTGGGCTGATTCACAGGAGGGGTCCTGGGGAGACAGCCGGGCTCACCCCTACCTTTGGTCACCCCAGGTCGGAGCCTCCCTCTTTGCCAGCAACATCGGCAGCGGCCACTTCGTGGGCCTCGCAGGGACTGGAGCTGCAAGCGGCTTGGCTGTGGCTGGGTTTGAGTGGAATGTAAGGGCTCTTCCCCACCTTAGCCCTGTTCCTGAGGGAAGCTCCTGGTGGAGTGCTTGGTGGGTGAAATATGAGACTGGGGCGGATGTCCCAAGCGTGGGGCTAGGTTTGCCGGGAGTGAGGGGTACAGGCCAGCACGGGGCACAGGCAGGTCTTGTGCCGGACTTGGTGCCGAGCCGCTTCCAGGCACTCCTTGGGCGCTGGTGTGCTCCCGCCTGGAGCGGCGCAAGCAGTTCAGAGATGGAGAAACTGCCTGCGGCTGCATGCTGGGAGAATGTCTAGGCCAAGCGAAAGCCCTTCGAAGAAGCAGCGGAAGAGACAAAGGCCTGGCGTTGAGGAGCATCGCGGGGGGTGACAAGCAGAGGGCTTCGAGCTCAGGGCTGCGAGCTCAGGGCTTCCTGCAGGGGGCAGCCTCTGAGCAGAGCCTTCAGGGACAAAAGGTTGGGGTGAAGAGTGGTGGAAGCCCCGCCTGGCAGATGCTGGGCTCGGTGTGAAGGTCTGTGCCCGGGTTCACAGCCCAGAGAAGGCAAGGGGCAGGGGCTGCGGGGGACCCTCCTTGCAGGGACTGGCCAGGACTGAGGGCCAAAAGGTTCCAGCCCAGAAAGGTGGCAAGACTCTGCAACTGAAGGCCCAGTGCTCGGGGTTATCTTCCAGTTGTGCTCTGCTGTGAACTTTCCCAGGACCACTTGCCCGAGGGTGGCGCGTTGGTCTCTCAGCTCCTCCAACGGGGAGGTCACAGAATGACAAATCGGGAGTCACAGGTTCCCTTCTGGCTATGCCCACAGGCGCTGTTCGTGGTGCTGCTCCTCGGCTGGCTCTTCGCCCCGGTGTACCTGACCGCTGGTGTCATTACCATGCCACAGTACCTGCGCAAGCGCTTTGGCGGTCGTCGCATCCGCCTCTACCTGTCCGTGCTCTCGCTTTTCTTGTACATCTTCACCAAGATCTCGGTGCGCATGCGCGCGGCCCCGACGGCGGCCTAGTCAGGCGGGGGCCACCCAGCAAACCCTGGGGGGGTTGGAGGGCGGGGAGGAAGGGAAACCCTGGGGTAATCCCGGGTGGAGGTGGGGCCTGGGAGGAACAGGGACGCTGTGTTAAGCAATGAGGGGCCCTTTGGAGTGTGGTCGGCTAGGATTGTGGGCTGAGCAGGTGAAGCTGGTACTGACCCATGTTTGCTCTTTCCCCAAGGTGGACATGTTCTCCGGGGCCGTGTTCATCCAGCAGGCCCTGGGCTGGAATCTCTATGCCTCCGTTATCGCGCTCCTCGGCATCACCATGATTTATACGGTGACAGGTGGCTTCAGCAGAAGCCTACAAGGGGGGAGCTGGCCTATAGCATCTAGGGACAAGGGGGTGGAGAGACCTGGAAATGTAGTACGGTTCAGGGAGGTGGAGGAACGTAGGAATCCCTGGGGAAGGAACTCACTTGCTCTTCCACTGACCTGTGGATTTGGACTGGCAGTTCCTGTGCCTAGCTGGTTTGGGACTTGAATGGGGGCCTGTGAAAAAGTGAACATTTTCCACCCCTACTTCCCTATACCACCTCTGAAGACAGGGTCTCACTACATAGGTCAGGCTGGCTTTGAACTTACTATGCAACAGAGGCTGGCAATGAACTCAGTGTAGTAGTCCTTCCTCAGCCTCTCAGGTGCTGGGATTATAGACACACGCCACCACACCTGGCTGATTTTATCCTTAAATGCCTGAGAGTGGATTTCGTCAGTCTTCAAGATCTCTTTCCAGGCCTGGGAATGTAGCCTGCCTGGCGAGTGCAAGGTCCTGAGTTTGATTTGTAGTTTAAAAAAAAAAAAAAAAAAAATCTCTGTCCAAACCCAACGCAGCTGAGGATTCCAGGGTGGGGCTTGAGGTCAGAGAAGAGCAGAGCAGAGCAGAGCAGGGGGCTGGCGCCATCACTGGGATAGCATGGAATGAGAAATGGGCCCTAGAGAATCACTCATCACTACAATTTAGATGAGAAAACTGGGGCATAGAGGGCATCTATAGAGGGGAAGCTGTAGGTGAGTGGGCGGCCACAGAGGCCTCTGACACCTAGAACTCGGGGCACAAGCCTGCTCCCCAGGCTCTACTTCCTAGTGCTGCAGCGCAGGGGGTTGGGAGGTTGGCCCGTGGTTGTGGAGTTTGCTCTCCAGAGTTTTTCAAATTCTTAGCAAGGGCCCTCTGTGCTAGGGATCAGCGGCTGGGCTAGCCCCACTGACTCAGGACTACTGTTGCAGGAGGACTGGCAGCGCTGATGTACACGGACACCGTGCAGACCTTCGTCATTCTTGGGGGAGCCCTCATCCTCATGGGTTATGGTATGGGGCTCAGCCATGGGAGAGGGTACTGGGAGGGGAGCTGGCACGTGGACCCTGAGCTTTAGCATTAGTGCCCTTCCTGAACAGCTTTCCACGAGGTGGGCGGGTATTCGGGGCTCTTCGACAAGTACCTGGGCGCAGTGACTTCGCTGACGGTGTCCGAGGATCCAGCTGTGGGCAACATCTCCAGCTCCTGCTATCGGCCGCGGCCTGACTCCTACCACCTACTCCGGCACCCTGTGACAGGGGACCTGCCGTGGCCAGCACTGCTTGTGGGGCTCACCATTGTCTCTGGCTGGTACTGGTGCAGTGACCAGGTGAGGGAAACTGCTGAGCCAGAGGCTGCATATGAGTTAGAGCAGGGGTGGAGGGAGGGAGGGAGGACAAGCCCCAGGCAGGCCTGGGGGGCTGGAGTCTGGGATCACACTCAGGCAGGTGATTGCCCCTTGTCACAGGTCATAGTGCAGCGCTGCCTGGCTGGCAAGAACCTGACTCACATCAAGGCTGGCTGTATCTTGTGTGGCTACCTGAAGCTAATGCCTATGTTTCTCATGGTCATGCCAGGCATGATCAGCCGAATCCTCTACCCAGGTAATGTCTGCCCACTTCCTCTTTCCTGTACCTTTTTTTTTTGGTGGAATGGGGGATTGAACTCAGGCCCTTGTGCTGGCCAGGCAAGAGCTTATTCTACTGAGCTATCTCCCCAGCACCCTCCCCTTTGTTTTTGTATTTTAGTAAGGGTCTACAGGATCTACAGGGTCTCACTACGCAGATCAGACTTGTAGTGATCCACCTGTGTTCAGCCTCCTAAGAGCTGGGATTAAAGGCACACACCATCAGGCCCAGTCTCAACTATTGTCTCAGAGTGCCTCCGGGGTGGGGCCAGCACGGCATGCCTGGGATCGAACCCTGGCCCCTGCATCTGCCTAAGCAGGTGCTTTAATCTTGCCAGGCTGGGGCTGGTGAGATGGCTCAATAGAAAATAAGCACTTCCCTGGCAAGCACAAGGGCCTGAGTTCAATTCCCCCGTTCTGCCAAAAACAATAGAAAATAATCCTGCCAGGACTCCCAGGACTAGGATTCAGGCCCCACCCTCCCCACTCTCTCGCAGATGAAGTGGCCTGCGTGGTGCCCGAGGTGTGTAAGCGTGTGTGTGGCACAGAAGTGGGCTGCTCCAACATTGCCTACCCACGGCTTGTGGTGAAGCTGATGCCCAACGGTGAGGGCATGCCCATGGGCTGTCCCTTGCCCACACGAGCAGAGACACGGGGACACCGCTGCTGCGGAGGGGTGTCGTGCGCTTATGGCTCCCGTGCGGCCCACAGGTCTGCGTGGACTCATGCTGGCTGTCATGCTGGCCGCACTTATGTCCTCCCTCGCCTCCATCTTCAACAGCAGCAGCACACTCTTCACCATGGACATCTACACCCGCCTGCGGCCTCACGCAGGCGATGGGGAGCTGCTTCTGGTGGGACGGTAGGCTCCGGCTTCCTGCTCCTCCTGCCCCGCCAGGCAGCCTGGGCGAGAGTCACGGGAAAGAGACCACAGGAGAGTCCTGGCTCAGACCGCTCCATGGCCTCCCAACCGCAGGCTCTGGGTGGTGTTCATCGTGGCAGTGTCGACGGCCTGGCTCCCGATAGTGCAGGCTGCGCAGGGCGGGCAGCTTTTCGATTACATCCAGTCCGTCTCCAGCTACCTGGCACCTCCCGTGTCCGCAGTCTTCGTGCTTGCGCTCTTCGTGCCTCGCGTCAACGAGAAGGTGAGCGGCGTGTGCGCTGAGCTGGGCAGAGCCTCACGCCCAGCGGGCTAACGCCGCCTGCTCTGCAGGGCGCCTTCTGGGGGCTGATCGGGGGCCTGCTCATGGGCCTGGCGCGCCTCGTTCCCGAGTTCGTGTTCGGCACGGGCAGCTGCGTGCGGCCCTCGGCGTGCCCCGCGCTCATCTGCCAAGTGCACTACCTCTACTTCGCCATCGTGCTCTTCGTCTGCTCCGGCCTCCTCACCCTCGGGGTCTCGCTGTGCACCGCGCCCATCCCACGCAAGCACGTGAGTGGAGACGTCTGTGCGCCAACCAGCGCTGCGCGGACCTGTTCTCATTCTGTGGGGAAGTTCGGGATTTCACACTGAGCTTGAGGGACCCGTTGCAGGAGTAGTTTGACGCTGCAGTTAGAGCAAGCAGAGCCTTTTTACTCATAAGACGTTTATTTGTAGTTAGGGGTTGAGCCGAACACTTCGGCACGCAGGTGATTAAAGCTTCCCAAAGCCCATCTTTGGCATGGCCTTTGGGTTACAAAACGTGGACAGGCTGAGAGGAACACAGCGTCACCCTGAAAGCCCACACAAGGGGCTGGCCTTGTGCCGCTGCAGAACTGGGAGGCCACGGCTGAGTGCGAACAGGTCACTTGGGGTGGCGAGGCTGGGACGCGCAGGCCAACAGCTTAAACGCCCAGCTGAGGAAATGTGGGCTTAGCCTGAGGTAAGGGGGAGCGTGGAGCTGACCCTGGGAGAGCTTCGCAGCCGGCCAGAGGGAGGCCAGGGAGGCAGGGACAGAGCCGGTGTGCAGGGTGCGAGGACACAACTACTGCCCCCGCTTCTCCCCTTCCCAGCTCCACCGCCTGGTTTTTAGTCTCCGGCACAGCAAGGAGGAGCGGGAGGACCTGGATGCCGATGAACCAGAAGCCCCCCCATCGCACCCCACGCAGAACGGACCCCCGGAACACACACTGCAGACGGAGGGTAGGCACCTGCCTGAGGAGCGGGCTGGGAAGCCGCCTTCCTTCCCACTAACTGCGTGGCGCCATTTCTCCCAGCACCCCAGACCCCTGCGCCTGGCCCACTCCGCCGGTGCCTGCTGTGGTTCTGTGGCATGAGCAGGGGCCAGGCAGGCAGTCCTCCGCCCCCGACTGAGGAAGCAGCGGCTGGGACAGCCAGGAGTGTGGAGGACATCAGTGAGGACCCGCGCTGGGCCCGCATGGTCAACCTCAACGCCCTGCTCATGATGACCGTGGCCATGTTCCTCTGGGGCTTTTATGCATAAAGGCAAATGTGTTGGATGCCAGGAACCATACGGAGCAGGGCTCAGCCTTGCAATAAGTGGGGTGGGGAGCCTGTAGTGGTCCTCAGAAAGGAGAATGGGCAAGGGCGGGAAGACCCTGATCTTCCCTCTGCTTCATCTCTGCCCGGGCCTAGTGTGCCTGAGTGGCAGTTGTTTCCTAGGAGGCCTGGGCCATTCACCTAAGTAAAAATAAAGTCTCTACTGTGCCTCCACTCCAGGCTCCGTCCTGGGCCCCCCTGGGCCCCTCATAAGTCCTTTTTCTCCGGAGACAGCAGCCACGTGGCTCTCCACTCATCCACCTCGAGCTGGTGCTTCTCTGTCTGCCAGCCAGTAGCCTGCAGTCCTGGGGAGAGGACACAGGGTGACGCAGGGAGGCTGGGCTGGCCATGGGGTTAAAGAGCGGCAGGGACCGGGGACCGCCCCCGCTGGATGCCCCAGGTGCCCCAAGGGTGATCTCCAGGGTAACACAGGGTGAAATCTCATTTGCTTGCAGTCAAAATTCAGAGATAACACACAGAAAATGGGCAAAGCTCAAAATAAAAGGGCATTATCAGTACAGCAGCGTCTTAATACCAACCGGGATTGCACAGGCTGTCAACACTAACAGCCTCAGAGCCCACCTTTACCTCCCTACTGCACAGAAGGACACTGAGTCCAAGACTTAAGGTCACAGAGAAGCCAGGTCTTTTATTTCTCGGGCGAAAGCCTGGGGCAAATACAAGAGGGCCTCAGGATAGGGTATGGGACAGGATTACCTTCCAAAAAGGGTGGGAACAGCTTGTCCAGCACCCGATAGGTCTCCCTGACGATGGCCCCGCTGTCCTCCTCAGGACCTGAGGGGTGCACAACCAGAAGCTCACATGTCCTCCCTTTGCAGGCAGTTTCCTCCTCACCCCTGTGGCCTAGACCATGGAGCTCTTACCCGCCCGCAACCGGTTCCTCAGTTCCTCCAGTTCGCATGGAAGAGGCCCATCTTCCTGCAGGGCTCCAAGTAGCAGCCCGTGGGTGGCAGCCTTTAGGACAGCCTCAGGGCCTGCCATCTCACTCAAAACCACCTGCACCTGGTCTGCAGAGATGCAGGGGAGGCCAGGGGATCAGGGAAGGGCTCCCCAGGCCCCCTCAGCCGTCACTGAGTTCACCTGCCTTCCCCCAGAGGCCTCTGCCAGGCAACAAGGGCCCTTCCCCAATCCTTCCTATGCAATTTTATTTCCTGGTGCGGCCCAATGCTCTGGCCAAACGGAAACACCCAGGGTTCAAACACAGCTGCACAGCACCTGCTGAGGTGCAGGTGCTGATTAATATAGCAGCAGATGGGCAGATCGACAATCTCGGGGGGGGGGGTAACCTGCCCATTAGCTCAGGTGTTTAAACAAAACAGTCAGGCTCAGGATGCTGTGGTTCGATCCCCAGATCCTGCTTAAACAAAGCAGTCAGGCTCAGGACACTGTGGTTCCATCCCCAGATCCTCATACTTACCAGACCTGCCCTCAAAGTCTCCTAAGCCAGCCAAAAAAAAAAAAAAAAAAAAATCTCAAGGACCAGTTCTGCCAGAGGGGAGTTGGAGAGACAGTCCCAGGGACAGCCAAAGGGCATCATCTGGCTTGAGTGTGTGGCAATACATAAAGAGATGTTACATAACTATTATGTGACCCAAAGAAACACACTATAGGGCCAGGGAGATAGCTCAGTGGCCTAAGCACCTACCTGGCAAGCGCAAGGTTCTGAGTTCAATCCCTGGTACCCAAAAACAAACAAACACCACTACAGGTAGTAAGGCAGCTACTGCAGCTCCATTTCACGAAGGGGTGCCCTGAATTCCAACGAGGCACACCCCCGGCAGGAACGCACCAGCTTTAGTCCAGCCTGCCCACCACTAAGCACTAAACTGAGAGGGATGAGCTGGCTTGGGAGAGTGAGTCCAAGGCTGGAAAAACATGGCGCACTCACTTCGAGACTGGTTCCAACAGAGGAGATAGAGTTCTTGGTGCCCCTCAACCAGCTGCTGCAGCTCTGAGACACTGGTGGAGGGAAGATGATAGTGGAGGTGGGGAGGCAAAGGCAGGAGACCCTGCTGCCCATTCCCGCCCTCTTCACTCACTTCCCATCTATCTACTCCTCTATTATCCCCACCATCCACTGCCACCCTTCCTCTTCTTACGTGGCCAGTCACCCATTCTCTCACCCACTGTCCTTCCTGCATCAACAAATATTTTATATCTATCTATATCTATCTATATATCTATAAAATAATTTTGGCTTGAGACAGGGTCTCACTCTGTAGTCCAGGCTGGCCTTGGATGCACACAGATCCCTCTGCATCAGCCTCCCAGCACACAGATCCCTTCTACACTGTTGTACACACTGCTGCCCTCAAACCCTCATGCTAGCCTCAAGTCTGTTTAGTAGAAATAAAATATCCAGAACAGAGAGGTGGCCTGATCAGAGGAGGCCAGGGTGTACCAGGGAAAGGGGTGCATGTGGAGAGGGTGAGAAGTGGAAGAGACGCATGGGAGACCCTGGGCCACTCACCTGGAGATCACACGATGTAAAGGAACCCCTAGCGACAGAGACAAAGATGGCCAAAACCCTGTGGGAAGCAGGAGTTAGGAGGGAGAGAGGCTGGGAGGCACAGGACTCAAGACCCAGGGCTGGGGTCACCTGTCCAGAGCGGCTCCATCCGATTGGCTGAAGTGGTGTCCAGGATCTCTCCCTTTTGCAGAAAGTGCCTCAAGAGCAGCTGGAGCCGGTTCTCATTCAGGGTCTCCATGACGAGCGCATGGACTGCCCGGTAGTTGGCATAGATGTGGAGGGCAGTGAGGAGGAAGAAACACCCAAGGCTGAAGCTGGGGCAAGAGAGTGAGGTAGCCGGGAGGGTGGGGGCCCAGCGGGCGCCCCTCCCCAGCTCTGTTCCTGGTTTACCTCGGGCTGCCAGACACCAGAGGAAGCATCACGAGGCTGACCAAGAGCCCGGCGAGGTTCACCAATGTCTCCTGAAACGGGTAGAGGGGCGAGCAATTGAGGGTCCCCCCCACCCCTGCCCACACTCACATCCTTCAGAGCCTTGCATGGGTTCCTCCCTGCTTGGGAACCTTCTAGGACCTGATGGGGCAAGGAGGGAGTTTCTTTCTCTCTCTTTCTCTTTTCTCTCTCTCCCTCTCCTCTCCTC